CCCCCCCCGCCCCCCCCCCCCCCGATATCTATCGTTCCCACTGCCCACCTTGTTCTTGGCTAACACGCAAAAAAACCTTGCATCTACAGTCAGCCATTACCCCGACAATAGTCTAACCCTCACGATCACTATTATAGCGAAGCATCACCAAGCTAAGCTGTGTAGCCCCTAAAACACACAAACCTGCCCGGAGTTGGTGTCATACCCCTAGTTCCAGCAGCGCAACCAACCCAGTCCCCCCTCCCCGGGAGGCGAGAAAGCTTCGCCACTACACAGAAAATCACGCGGAGAAAATACAGCCCAAGCGCTCGCTCAAGAGTCATGTTTCGGGCGGTGGGTACTTCAAGCAACGACTGATTTCGGCTCGAAACACGAACGGCCCTGCGACAAGCCCTCAGCACAACGTGATGGAAAAAACACAACCCGGGTTCTTGTCAAAAAAGATGCGGAGCAATTCAGCCCTACGGGTTCGGTGACAAAATCATTTTGGGTCACCGAGAGGGCAACGCAACGAAACACAGGGAAACTGAGTCTAGCTAGTCATCGGCGCGTACCTGAACCTACCTTTGGATGGGCAGGTCTCGTTACGTTGTTCCTCTCGCTTACACCTTCCCTAAGCGATGAAGCAACCAACAAGAGTACCATGGAGTAGCTCAGCCATACGCCTAAAGCGAACTACTCGACCTGTTGCCTACCGCGCATGTGGTTTTTTTGCATATTAAGGCACATCAATCCAACAAGGAAANCTCCCCCCCCCCCCCGCCGGTGCACATGAGATGCTCCTGCTGCTGCTAAAAACTGGTCGATCGACAATCGTCGCAGGGTTCACCAAAAGAAGGCGTGTTACTATCATCGTAACGCCCGGCAAAAATGCAGATGAAGTAGATCGTTCTTGTCACACCGCTAATCGCAAGACGATCTGTACTTCTGTCCTACTAGCTGCTGAACTTGCAGCAGCGTACAACCCAAGCGGCCGTCTTCTGTTGCTCTTCTGCTTTGCCGGGGATGGCGAAAAGAAAAACTGCAGTAGGCGCAGTTACAATCAGCAACCCAGCTTCGCAGCGGCTCTTTGACATGAAACGGTAGGTTGAAACCAACCCCATGGAAGCGTGTTTGCCGGCAAGCATGCACAGCAGAAGTCCCTCCGACAAAGCCATGCAGCTCCCACCACCAAGCTCGCTAGTCAAACCTACGCCAAACACACAACTGGTAACCGCTCCAACAGCATGGTTGTGCGAGGCCACGGGTGGAAAAAGAGTCCCCGCTGCTGTTGGTGGAGACGCGCCCTATCACTGACTGTCACAACTTGCCGCAACTCGAATCAAAAATCCTCCAGCGCTAACCTGACCTGATAGACAGAGTATCTGCACGTTGGCTCGGAACACATCGCAGCACATCCGCGACAGCTCTCACCGCCGCCAACGCTGCTGCTGCTGTTCTTCTCTATTCCGGAATGGATCGCAACACGACCACGAACTACTGTCGGACAGATACCACGAACAAGGAGTAAAATTGTGCCTCTTGAATTCACCCTCAGGGTGCACCTATTGATAGGCACTGGCACACCCACCCTGTTTCTCGCTGCTACCATAATGCGGAATGGGACGCATTCAGCGAGCACACCGAAGCAAGCGCAGAGCTAACGGAGAAAGCGGGACCCATCACAAAACATTGTCAAATACGGTTGAGACTGACAACACCGAACAATGCAAACAAAACAACCACACAGATGATAAAACGAAAGCACCAACGGTGCCCGGCCTCCCCCCCCCTCCCAACACACCAGCCCCACGCTTGGAGGAGCAGCGCACACCAAGTGCTTCACTCCTGCCTTGCGATTCAATAGCTGTCGCCCGACATCACCACTTTGCTCACGACCACAGCGGCCATTCTTTACACTACGAGGCCCGAGACTTTCTCTTCTCGGCTTCAGGGGCGGCGCGCCCTTCCCCTCCCCGCATCCCGCTGGCCTTCGCCGCGAGACCCAGGGTGTTCAGAGACCCTCCAGGCTTCACCGTGCCGCCGCCCAGGAGGATGCTGCGCGCGCCCGCGTTGCCGCCGGCCCCAACCGTGACGGGCTTGAAGCTCATGGTTCCCTCGAAGTAGAACTGCGAAAAAAGATGACAAAAAATTTACATGAAGAAAAAAAAACGAACACGATGTTAGCAGGTACTTTGGTGCAGGCGGGATACAGCAGCAGCAGTAGCCTTGCTATGAAGTTGAGCATCGAACTAACCGCAAGAGGACGGCTTCATGAGCAGCATGGTTTCAAGATTTCGCGTGTGTTGCAAACACGGAAGATACCACCCTTTCCGTTGGGAGTAACGACCGCATAGCCCACCGATACGGTTGGCGCCTTTGCCAAGCAGGAGCATGGAACAGCAACAGCAACACACGGTTCTTCGACTCGACGGAGCTACAGTGGCTATGTGGTCACGTTCGACTACAGCACTACTTGTTGGAATATCCATATTTCTTTGTCAACTCAGAGCATGACGGCTCGTGACACTATTGCTGTACTGTAGCGAATAGGTCTGGGTGTTTTTTTTGGGTCGAGTCACGCGATGTACGTTTCATACACGACAAAAACAGGGAGGCCACCGACGGACTGTAAATAACCTGTTAACTGCACCGCCATAAGAAGTCGCTCTGTTTCCAACACCAGCATGAAGCTGAAGGCTCTACACTCAGGGGGACGCGTGCGCGCAAGAAAATCTGACAAGAGTGCGAACATCGGAGAGGCATGATGCGGTACAAGAGATACGCCCCCCTCCCCCCCCCCCCCCCCCCCCCCCCCCCCCCCCCCCCCCCCCCCCCCCCCCNTTTCCCCCCCCCCCCCCCCCCCCGCCGCCACTACGGGGTCCCGTCTGCGTTCTTTTCACGCGGCTCTTTCTCGGCAAGAGCAACAACACAACCGCGAAAAACTTGTCCTCCTCGTCGTTGTCGTTGCTGTTGTTGCCTTCACACTAGCAAACCCGTTCCGGTCTCTGCTCAGTACCTTCGAATGTCCGTACTGGTCCAACTGACGCGGGCGCCTTCCGCGGTCGCAGGCCAACTAACCACAAGAGGTTGGTGCACCCTCAGGATTTCATGAAAAAAGAAAGAAAAACAGCACAAAAAAAGTCACACACGCCGAAATACAACGCAAAAAGCTATTCCGTAGTTCCACGCTTCGAAAGATCAGAAAAGAAAGGGAAACAAGGACCCACCACAATCACCACCACCAGAGCGAAAAAATGCCTACGAAAAGCTATGCGTTAGGTGGCAACATACCTGAGGGTGGGGGATGCAGTCCTCCTGGACTACGGCCCGGTCACCGATGGACACCTACCGGAGTGCGATGAGAGTTGGCAATATGGGCGATGAGTGGGGTTCAAAGATGGGACAAGAATAAGACACGTGCATGTGTCGGTAAACGAAATAAGAACTCGTGTATGATTGATGTGAGTGTTTCTGTCGTAGTAGAAGACTTGAAAATACCGCAAGGAAGAACGCGGTGATGGGGGTCCAGACGCGACAGGAGAAAAAACACAAAGGGAACGAACGATAGAGCGATAGAGCGACCATCGACAACAGGCTGCTGTGCCATGGAGAATCACACGATACCGTGGGATCAATTTCCCGTGGTCCGAAAACAACGACCACCGAAAAAAAAACCCAGCAACAATGAAAACACCAACGCCACCGCCAACTAGTACCAAGCAAGCGGCTTCTCCCCCTCCCTCCTTCCACTATTTACCAGGTCATGATCCGTGAAGTACATGGTGGCCACGTCGGCGTCCCTACCCACGCTAGCCCCCAGCAGACGAGCGTAACAGTTGAACATCTTCCCTCGCCTCAGGATGTCTACGAACAGGAAGTGTGCGTGGATTTGAAGGTACAAGACCAGCAGCGTCCTGTAGTGGTACACCGACCAGAGCCTGTCATGTGTCGTGTAAAAATCGAGAGAAGACAAGGGGAGAAACGGGACCCAACAAAAGAGGAATACACAGTCAAAGATAGGGTTGCATGGCAAAGTGCATAGTAGTCGTCATGATGTGGCACGGACGTGTGGTTTGAGTTCGAGAGAGCCTGCGGTGCGCGAGCAACAAACAAACTGCCATTTTAGTTCCAAGAACTAGCCTTGTCTTTATCTCCGCTCTTTGATCGTGTTCCAGCACTGACATTGCATTCCGGCGAGACTGTCTACTCCCAAGACAATGAACGTACGGAACCCCCCCCCCCTCACTTTGTATCCGAAGGGTGCTGCTTGCCGATGATGGTCCACTTCCCCACGGCCCCGGTCACCGCCAGCGACACCCCTAGCCCCAGCCACGCGAGGGGGGTCAACAGGCACGCCACCCCGGGACCCCCCAACGCCTCCGCCGCCCTCGCAAGCGCCAGCAGCGGCCAGAACGCCGCGCTCAGAGTGATCGCCGTCGACGCCGCCGCCAGCGGCAGGGGCGCCAGCAGGTACAGCCAGCGCTCCAGCCGCGACAGCTCTCGCGGGGGGGACTCGTACCGGCCCGCAACCACGGGGGCCGGGGATCCCAGGTGCAGGGCCCCCTCGCGGACCTCGTCGGAGGGCCCCAGTCGAGTGTTGGGGCCTAGGGCGGCCCCGTGGGGGAGGGTCGCCCCCGGGAGGGTGACCGAACCAGCGCCGTTCAAGCCCCTTTTTTGGTGTTGTTGTTGGCGTATATCGTAGTGATTTGTTCGGGCGGGGG